TTATTAATATATTATATATCTATTTTATACATACCTATACATTTTATATATACAGACGTGGATTTTATATAAAATGCATATATACAATCTATAAAATTATCTGCTTGTTTCACATATTATTTAACATTTTATGGTGATCACAGTATTACCTGCCTCAAATCAGCTTATAAAGTCTGTTACCTTTAATAAACATCATTAAGAAAGGAATGCAGATTCTTATATGTAGTATCATGTGCCGAAAAAGTAAACACTAACTTAAGAGAGGTTAATTGTTTTCCAGTTGCATTACCAAGACGATTCTTGTACTTTTCAGTCCTATCAACTCTAATCCCCTTCTAGGAGCTAGGAATATTAGTGCAATGTTTTCCTGTCCAAGAAATTGCTTGGACACACTCATTTACTCTAAGTGTCAAAAAATTATGGCCAAAAAGAAAGGGTTTCCTTCCAATTTCAGTAGACTGCTTCCCATTTTACAGTAAGTGCTGAAATCTTGTCTTGGCCAGGAAAATACAGAATTGTTTCTCCCCACTATCTAGTTCTCTTATTTTTACTGAGGCTTGACATTTGCTCTGAATCCTAAGAGCCTGGCAGTAACCTCTGTTGCCATGGTTTACAAACGAGTCTTGCATTATCTTTAGTTCCAGTCAAGAAATAGAAACACTGCAGTTCCCAACTTTTGTTCATGCAGCTGCATCTAAGTGCAGACAGCGTTCCAGCACCTAATTATTTTTAAAGAGGGAAGATTGACAGTTTCATTCACACACTTACCTCCCTTGGCAGGTAACAACAAAGTCAACCAGTGAGTTTTCAGCTTGACTTTCTGTCATCTGGATGCTTGTCATCTGAATAATATTTACCTCAAGGATTCCCTCTGGGAGAGGAAACAGATGTCAATGGTAGGACACATGACAAGCTCTGAAGTCTGTGTGTGCAGAACCTCAAGTGTTTGGCTGATGCTCAGTTCAGGTCTTGTTTTCCATAACCTCCTCCCTCCCTTAGCACTCCTCTTGAAGGGTTTGAAAGCTGAGAAATTTTCCAGTGCTTTCCCTGTAAGGCTGCTCCTTTCTGCTCTGCTTTCTTTTTCCATTATTATTATTTACTTATTTATTTTACTAAATCACTTCCCCATCCCACTACCTGTGACTTCTGTGCAGGCCAAGGTCAATTCAACCTTATGTGACCCGCTCCTGGCCAGTATGCTTCAGGCGTGGCAGGTTCAGAAGCTGATGATACAGAAAGTGATACGGAGCACATCCCCACCAGCCATTTTCCAGCGCAAGTGCCTGGAGACACCAGGCATGGGGACAGCCATCAGCAGGCATTCAGACCAACGCCCAGCCTCACGTGTCTGAAACCAAGGGGCCATAACCTCTGCTGCTAGGTCCTGGCAGAGCGCATAAAGAAACCAAAGTCAGCCAGTTAGCTGTCTGTACATTAATCTTTAAAAATGTCAGCTAGGTCCAAGAGAAGGATCTTACTGTGGGTCTCACGTATTTGATAAAAGGGAGCCTAAATAAACATTATCTCTAGCATACATTGTTGTACATTATTAACCCCATTCCTCTGTTCAGGTGTTGACCCACGTCCTTACCTACGACAGAGATACCAGTTCTATAGTATCCATTTCTGTAAATATGGCAACCTCCATCAGGATTATCTTCCATTGACTCGACGGTGGTAGAGGAGTCTGAATTAGAAGATGCTCCGGTCGTTACTGTTGAGTTGAGGGAGAAAGAATAGATACGCAGCTTTAGAACAAGTTCTGCTTAGAGGTATTCTGAACATGGCCATATGTTTCAACTGCATTCATTACATAGGTCATTAGTGACTAGTTTGCAGCTGTGCAGTCATGTATGTGTCTGTATGGGATCATGGTAATAAGCCTTAAAGAAAACACACATGCCCAGCTGTAGAACCCTGGAGTGGCCTGGGTAGCCTCGCTCTAAAAGCCACCTTGCTAGTCACCCATCTCTGTGAAATAAAAGTGAGACTGCAAGGTATGATATAATTACACACTTCTTTAAAATTCCCAAATCAATTATAGAAGAAATCCAAAGGCCAATAAAAGGTTTAAAATGCTCTCTTTAAAAGCACGTATTTTCCCATTGCTCTACATTACAGCCAGTGGAAAAATGAAAAGGGGAAGTGGTGAAAATTACATCTTTCCTTTCATTTTTCATTCTCACTCAACATTTTGATAAAAGCACATATTAAAATTCTGAAATTTGAAAAATACAGCCACATTTACAATTTAATAGTAGTAGTAGTATAACTACCCAGGCTGAAACTGCAGGCCTTTTGCAAACCTTAAAACCCTCTGAGATGATAAACCAATGCTGAACATAATGAAAGTTATTCTGAAATATGATAGTGCATAAATTTTAAGTAGAAAAGCCATTCTGGGTTAATGCCATATGGAAATCCCATATTTTGGAATATGAGTAAGTTTTTTCTAGTTCAATCCAATATCATTTAATTTTGGCTGGAAGTTAATGCAAACCAGAAAGGAACTGGCTATAAGAATGTTCTGAAATACCTCTTTCTCACTTAAAATTTACATCCTACCTCAGAAGATGACCCTGAGCAGGCAAGGCTAAAACCACTTGACCTGGCATGGTAGAGGGTATAAAAAGAAATTTATATGTACTGCATATCCACCTGAAGACCTCTGTGTGCTGTCAGTGTGGTGGTAGAACTGGATGTGTAATGTGTTAAATGTGTAAGTGATGCCTACCATAAAATCATAGAAGCGTTTATGCGTATTGATTCTGTTTCTAAACCAATTTATAGAGGGTTTGCAGGGTCTTGCAATTCTTTCATTGATGACAGTAAAAATTCTAAAGATATGAACTTAAGGTATCAGAATTTAGAGTTTTAGCACAGCTCCTAGTATCACTGCTGTTCGATAAACTCTTACCTGCTGAGGGCAGTGGTGCAGTGGGTGTTACTGGCCTGCAAGGTACAGGTATAATGGCTTGGACAGTTAAATTCAGAGTGAAGTTTCCTTGCAGAGTATAGGTGTGAGATGTAGTGGAACTGCTGGGTACAAATAAGCCACTTCCATCTCCGAAGTTCCACTTGTAGGAGATGGCAGAATTATTAAGATAGTAGCTGGGATCATGGATCTTCACATCAAACGTGATTGGTGAGTCTTTGATAAAAATGGAGTCTGAGATGTTGCGGTCATGTTTTTGGAACATAGTCACAAATATTGGAATTTTGTCTGGAGGGGGAAAAAAAGGAAGTAAATAAATAAAGCATACATACCTGGCTGCAAATAACAAACAGGTCCAAAGTCCCTGAACAGCGAACAGTCAGAATGTGAGACATTAATATCTTTTAACCCAGGTTTCTACTTTAATTCGATTTACTGATCTGAGGAGTGAATGTCAGTAGGAAACCATTACCCAGAGAAGTATGGGAACAAATGAGGAATTACAGGCATCTGTGGAAGATTGCATTTCCTCTCATAAATCATTTTTCATTACAAAGTAGAGGTGTCACAACTGAGCTAGATACAAAGGTAAATTACACTACTCGAGGCAATTTACCAGAGATTCCACATTCATATTAAAAACCTTTCTCAGGGCAATGGCTTCTTTTCATGCCAGGTGATGCTTGTGCTGAATTCTTTTAACACCTAAACAACAAATACCCCCAGTATTTTATTACAGTTTATTCCAGCACGCTCACCTGTTACAACGTAAATGACACTTGCTTTTGCAATTGGAACGTATGCTGAGTGCCCTCTCCTGTAAATGGATACCGCCATCGTGTGTTTGCCAAGAGTGATATTTGCTGTGTTGACTGAAAACATTGCTGAAGATCGTCCAGTTGTTTGGTAGTACTGACCTGAAACAGAACATGAACTTACATGTTTTCCCCTTTAGCCTAGCTACAAGTTGTTTTAAGAGAAGGAATATCTCTCTGAATCTTGGATTGTCTAAATCAAAATTAATAGTTTAGAATTGTCTTTCAGTTATCTGGCAGGTGTTTTTGGAGGACTGAATACTTTTACAATGTGTTTACTCCCATTGTTTCTGTGTTTTTTCGAAGCTGTCAGAAAGATGTCCCAAATTTCACTGATCTAAGAAAAATTTGCCAAAGCGTCTACATCTTTCCAAAGCAATTACATTACATTAAATCATTAGGATTATGTAGTGGATGGTGTTACCTCTTAGGCATTTTAAGTGATCTTGTGTTTGTACGCTTTCAGTGTAGCAAGAAGATACAATACCTCTTGCTTCATAACCTAGAGCCCTTTGTATACATTTGCTTATTTGTCTTTGTAACAGCTGATTAAGGTAGGTAAATAGTATCACCTCTACGTAAAATTTGGGACATTATTATTATTACTTATGCTGATACTGATGATAATACTGATTTAGCCAAGCTAACTTAGGATACTAAGATTTAGTATGTAGCCAATGTCAGGAATAGCCCAAGTGTTACATACTCAGGAGCTGGAAACACTGAAAATCAGCATCTGTGACCAGATCAGTACCACGCAGTCAGTGGCAGTTTTCACCTCCCCAGAGGCAAGAAGTGCTGCACCATTAAACTGATCTGAAGATATACAGCGCTATGGTCTCTCTTAAATTTAAGAATCTGAAGTGGCAGTGAGCGGTCAACAAATCATCTGACTGACCTGCTCAGACCCTCTGTTTTCCTAGGAAAGGATCTTGAGTACTACTGAAAGGAAATTAATTTTCTTCAGTGGTAGTACTGTGAATGCCGATTTAAAGAGAATCTCCTGGTAATCCGTGATTTCCAGACTGAGCAGCTGATGGCCTCTCTGGAAAGCGGAGAATGAATTCCACTCAAGAGCATGGAACCCTTTTAAAAGGACTTTTAATAAAACATACTCGACAAACAAGTTAGTGTGTGAATGTAAGTTTGCAGCGTCAGCCAAACCAAGGGATGTGTTGCAGTACTAACCAAACGTGTGAAACACGTAGACAAAGTTCCTTCTCCGCCAGCCTGGGTAGTAAGGGAAGGGTCTCCCATCTGGGAATACATTATGGCTGTAGTTGCTTGTGCAGTTTCCCCAGCCACAGTTGTCAATCCATTCAGTCCAGTTGTAGACATAGATTTGCTGATCCTGGGAAGTTGGAGGATCCTGGGAAGCTGGAGGATCTAAGTGTAGAAATAGGACATGTTCCCGGTCAACTGAGAAATGTGCAGAAAGTCAGGAAACAGAAGGCAGACACCCCAGGTTAGAGCAGTTATTGCGCTTAAGCAATAGGTTAAGTGGGGAATTTTTAGACTGACATTCGTTTTTTCTAAGATTGTGCTTTGTTTGGTTTCTAATGTAAACACCAAATTGTTTTGGCTTGGTGTTGTTTAATTTAGAAGCTTAAAAAATTTTACTGTCTCATGGGCCAGACACAATTTAAAATTGCTTGCCCAAAACTTGCTATCGACTACACAGGACGCTACTGTTTCACTGGAGTTAGTGGGGCTACCTGAACATTTGGCAAGCAGAATCTAAAATTTTAAGTAGAAATAGCAGCTGTGGAAGCACTGTGAGGAAGTGACTTAGTTTGTTTTGTCAGAAAAGTTTTCTATGGCACCTTTAAATAACTTAGACATGAATTTCAGTTCCTTTCTGAATAATAAGAAGACAGTTTCCTTCCCCAAACGGCACAACAGATATTAAGTAGAGAATGGATATCAGCAGTTAACAAAACATTAGACAGTCAAAAAGTAGAACTCAGGCTGACAAGAAATTTGCTCATACGCCTTGAAATGAAAATTACTTTGATCAGTAAAAAAATTTGTTGAACATTTATGAATTCAGAGGAAGAAAGGTATAACAGCCTGTTTCACTCTAGATCCAGCAGCTTCAAACATTGGAATTAGGATAGATTTTTTGATCCGCATAACAGTAGATAAGATGAAAAAAGGTGATTCTCTGATGAAAAGATTGCTTGATTTTTAAATGTTTGTTAGTTTGTTTGTTTTTAGGTCTTAAAATGTGGGAATGTGAGATTTACTCTTTTTGAGGGTTTTTCAAGATGCAGTTGATGGTTAGTGAGTTCTACAATTCCTAGTTGAAAAAAAAATCTCAATTTTATAAATTGACAGCTTTATAAATTTGGAAGAAAACAGTGTGACTGTGCAACCTTGTGACTGAGCTGAAAAGCAGTAACAGTTTTGTTAGGAAGCCAAATTAACATCACTGTTTCGGGAAGGCAATTTTATAGTGAAGGCAAATCTTAAATTACCTGGTCATTATATATAGCAGGTGCAGAACAGTAAAAATACCACAGTGATCTTCTGAGGAAAGAAACTGGTGTGGCACAGGTTAGACACCAGTATAGTTATCAGATAAAAGCAACACGGCTGTTGTGCATAGGGTGCGCCTCTGATGTTTTCAAAGATTCGTGACATGTTCACACCAGCACCACAGTCAGACGTGTGTGTATAGTGCAGGGAGATTGCTGTTACCTACCCTGGGTGCAGTTTCTTTTGTATATTATGTTGCCATCATTATCTTCTTTCTGGCACTTGGGAAACTGGAGAGTCACAACAAAGGTCACGTTGGATCCTACCAGTGCTGGGCTATCACTGTCCAATTTGGCTGTCACCCTTCCGCCTGTAGAAAAGAAAATTGGTCTTCACTGCAGTAAAGGATGCATCAGAGCAGCAGCTACCTTCAACTGTGCAGTATTTACATTAGAAATGCTTTATTGATTCCTCTGTTTCAAGGGGTTTTGTGCTCCTGAGTCACTTGCACTCTTATCAAAACCCCAACTTAGAACAATCAGAGGGACTCATCATATCCCTGCACGTCACTTACTGTCATTCATTTCCTTCTTAGAGCTAAGAATATGGATTTTTTTACACATGGGGGTCAATATATTCCAAAGGAGAATATTTTTGTTTCTCCCCAGGGATGCAGCCTTTACACCTCAGCTCAGACTAGGTGATAAAAAGGGTCTTCACCAAAGTTGTCAAACTGAAGCCCACGATGCCCTACTGAGGTAGCAGTTGAAGCTACCTGTCCTCTAGGGCATGTTTCAAATAATGGATTGTCCTACAGCCCTGGTCATCAATACTTCTTAATAAGTATTAATGTCTGAGACTATGAGTCATGGGAAAGCATTTACTGTAACAACTCACTGTTCTGCTTCCTCAGACAACGTACTGGGAATGGTATCAAAGCCAATCGTCTCTAATTTGCTATTCCTTGCAGCAGTGGTGGATATTGCACCTATGAAAAAGCACTATAGCACTTGCACTCTTCAGTGAGGTGGATTTTCTGGCCAATTTTCTCAGTGTCTTTGAAATGCATATGTGCGATCACCTTTCCAGCAGTCCTTCCATCTCGGATCTCCTTCTTCCCAGAAAGGATAAAGCTTTTCATTCCATTTATTCTGATCACTAGACCAGCCTTGTAGCTTCTTGTAGGATGTGACAGGAGAAGTTCTTCCATGGCTCAGCACATCTTGAAACCCTAGAGAGAAAAATGAACATGCAATGTAATAGCATTTTCCCTACCACCCTATAAAGACATTGCTCTTGTGCTGAACAGCCTTCTTATTACGACTATATTCTTGTACTGATTAGAAAACTCTTCACCAGTAGAAAGTTACAGAATTTTATCATCGCAGCTATAAACACTTACATCAACTATAACCAACATAAAGACAATTCCACCACTGACAGACTGACATTTTTCTACTTGCACTATTGCAAGCTTTCCAGAGAAAGAATAAGAAGGTTTACAACATTTTGACCATATCAGAGCAATTGTTTGTATGAATGGACATAACCCTGCAACAATCAGGCTAGTTGTACAGAGGTTGCTTGATTGCTGACTGCTTTGTGCTTGCCTGGTAATAAATCTATGAGTAAGAGGCTAACAGGATAAATTCACTCTGTGTCTGAGTTGTGCTCTGGTGGAAGTTATGCCAGGAATTAATTTTGACCAGTGAAGCTTTTTTGGTGAGTTGGCTGGTGGTTTGGGTGGGAGGGGTGGAACCAATTGTAACAGAAGCTGGTATTTCCAGAAAAGGAAATTTAGAGCTGAATAGTAAATTCAATGTGTTTATAATATAACAACAAAAACATACTACTTTCATGCCTATTACTTTAAAATGGCTCAGATATTAAATAACTTTAATAACCTCTTTCTTCTCATATTACTACAAATGATGGGCTCAAACTTTTCCCAGGCCTTCTAGGATCCCTTTTTCTGTCACAAAGTACACATAATGAAAGGCAAAGTAAATATCCAAGTAACCTGTAGGAACATGTCAACCACTGTAGGATGCCATAAAAATATGTTCTTAAGTAGGCTCATAGGCAGAGTTCCATTAAAGCCTGGGGGCTTTAAACAACTCTGTCATGTTAATGAGGTAACTGCTGGGCATGCCATTCTGTCACAACATCAAGGGAGTTAGGATTTGTGCTTTTCATAGCTTTATTTTAAAGGCAGCTGATGCTGAATGCTTCTGAGATTTATACCCAAGTGCAACAAAGAGCTGGATGACTTCAAGGAAAATGCAGAGACCTGTAAGAAGGGCAAGAATGGCCCCATGCGCTGTATGAAACTGTCTGTGTTGGAATTTCTCCAGGTTTTGGAAAAGGCACAGAGCAGGTGTAGCCAGTCTAAGCACGGTCTTTATGGGCACGTGACTCCTAATTTTACTGCAAGGGAGAACCAGAGAAAAAACACTGAAGAAGAGGCAGGAGCTGCTTTCTTTTGAGGTTTTATTGCCCGGTGAGATTTCTGCTGGGCAGGAAGGACATCCCTTGGCCAGTCCCATCTCAATGGTCACTCTGAACTGATGCTGGTAGCTCTCTTCTCCAGTCTTGAGGACTGAAAGGTTCGAGGGAAAGAACAGATTTTGCACTCAGACATATTCTCCCATGGTCTTTTGCCCTACAGGAACTCCCCACAGTCTCACTTAAATCACTTGAATCAAGCCTTTCCTGCAGATTTAATAGATTTTGATGTGAGCAAAGCATAACATCATGACTGGTATTTACTTAATGGCCTGTATCACATGCTGTATTGTTTTCAGTCTTGGTCAGAAGAAGAGTTGAGTAATGTTGTCCTTCAGAAACTTTTCTCAGGAAAAAACCAGATTAGCAACTATGAAAGTATTTCACAAAGGCTTATCAAGTTCAATTACATTTTAAGTCATTAAATTAATGTGTCATCTTATTTGAAAGTAAGTGGCTAGGGATTTTTCCAAATTTCTTTTTCCCATTCTCTTTGATTTTATCTAAAAATTAATTAATAAAAATGTTTTGATTTTGTCTGATCAAAACATTTCAATCATTGTTTTTTTCCCAAATGCTCAATTTATCAAAAAGAGCTGGAGCACTTTTAATTTTATAAATGCTTTTAATTTTGAATTTTCAATAACAATCCTTGAATTCAGAAGTAATTTTCTTGTCCAGCTTTGGTAATAACTGTGGTCACTGCTTCTAAATCACAAGCTCCTTAGGCATTTCTATGCCTCCCTGATGTGCTTTGTTTATTTCAATCGAATATAAAACATTTCACAAGCTTCAGGACAAGACAAAGACATTTTTTCAGATGAGCAAAGACTTCAGCACTAGTTTCTCTAACACATGGAACTGAAGATTTTCAGTTGCTGAATTTAAAGGAACAAAAAGCTTTAATGTATTTCTTCTTTAACAATGAAAAACACTCAAGAACAGATGTTGGTCATAACCAAAATTAGAGCAATTCAGTTCAAAATAGACAGAGTAATATTACACTCCAAGGAAATGATTACTGTAATGGTTTTGGTGAGGTGATCATAGGAGAAAAGATCTTATACTCTGATTGACTTTCTTCTTTCTCGTTCTGGTTTTCATTTTGGTGAAAAATGTAGCAAAGACAAGAAGTTCAGCATTTCCTGTGATAGTGTGTTAGCCATGAAAGAGAGAACGAAAGCCGATGTTAGAACAACAGCAATAAAAAGATGGCCCAGCGAAAGAGGATGAAAGTGTATTAGAAGTAAAAAGGCTGATGTTACGGCCAAGCTAAGAAGACAGAAAATAATGTAAACTCTCTCAAGTTACATGTAGAAACCTAATAAAGCAGGACAAAAAAGAATTTGAGGAACAACTTGCAAAAACATAAAAACTACTAATTAATCTTTTTTTCAAATACAGAAGTAGTGGAAAGCTTGCCAGAAAGTCTGCGAGGCCAAAAGATTATGTAGATATAAAAGAAGCATTCAGGGAAGATAAAGGACGAAAGTCAAATACATTAGTTTACATTTTCATTCACAAAGGAGGAGCATAAGAGGTTTCTGTGCTAGAATTTTCCTTTACAATGTTGGAGAATCTCTCTCTAACGGAAGTGTTGGCACAAAAAAATAATTATAGTGCAAATCAACAAAATGAAGAAGTTGTCTTGATTGGGTGGCTCAAAAAGTCTGGAAGTTATTCAAGAGTGAAATAAACGAGCTATTAACCATAGCGTGTAACATCTTGCTTAAAACTGCTTCAGTGGCCAAGAAACAAAAGTTGGCAAATGCGATGACAGTTTTTAAAAACACTTCCAGGGAAGATTTAGTTAGGATTACAAAAAGTTTGAGGCTCAAATTGGAGAAGCTGGTAGAAACAGCAGTGAAGAGCAGTATTAGCAGATATTAGTGGATTAATATGATATGCCGTAAAAGGAGTGCATTCCTCACAAATATATTCGAGTTTCGCTGAGGGAGCCAGAGAGCATGGGAACAAGGCTGACCTGCTTATTATAGTCTGCTTGAGTTCCAGACAGCATTTGATGAGGTCCCTCGCTAAAGGCACATAAAAGAACTAAGTTACCATGGGATAAGAATGAAGGATTTCACGTGAATAAATAATCGGTTAGGATATATGAACCAAAAGTTATGAATAAGTGGCCAGTTTTCTCAATTGTTGAAATAATTTAAAATGTTCATAATCTGGAAAACAGAGGTAAACAGTAAAGTTCTTTAATCTGCTGAAGACAGTGTCTTAAAGTAGTAGAGGGGAGGACTGTATGAGACTCAATGACTCAAGAATAAAACCATATGAAATTCAGCATAGTTTAATGTAACTTTACTTACAGAACGAGGGGCTCTAAACTAGCTATTGCCACTCAGAAATGAGATCTCATAGCTGTACAGTTTTGAGTGCAGTGCTCATTGGTAGTTGAAAAACTAGGAAAAGGCTAGATAGAGAACGAAGATGAAAATGTCATTACAGCATTGTATAATTCCATGTGTATTCATGTCTTGTATAATTCCATGTGTATGCTGCTCTGTTCTCTGCAGCTCAAGCAGGGTATAAGAGAACTGAAAAAATACAGAGAAAGGTGGCGAGGATGCTACGAAGGGATAGAACTGGTTTCCATATGAGGAACAGCTAAATAGTCTGTGTCTTGAGACTGGAGAAGAGGTGACAGAGGAGAATATAAAAACAGAATCACGAACAGCATGGAGGAAGAAGCAATTGTCACTATTTCTGGAAGTACAAAAGTTAAGGAGAATCAAATGAAACCAGCAGGTTACAGGTTCTAAGCGCATAAAAGATATTTCTTCATGTAAGGCACAGTTAAGGTGTGAAATTTCTTGCTGGCAGGATGTTGTGTGTGCCAAAAATTTACACGGGTTGCAATCAAAACCCAAGTGCATGAACAGATGGAAGAAAAGTCCAGTAAAAACTGTTAAATACAATGACTCTGCATCTGACAGATCATCAGAGGCTGGGAAAGTGTCCTGAGTAAATACCAGTATACATTTGCCCAGTTATACACCCATTACTGTCTCCCATTGGAGACAGGTAGAAGGCTCAGCTGGACCTCAGCTTTTAAGGTCTTCGGTTTCCTTACTGTAGATTCTGGAATTTGAGCCTAAAATCCCATTTCTGGGTTCCCAGCCCTGAGCTCAGGGAGTCGACCTAAGACTTGAGTCAAGCTGGGAGCTCGTAAAGAAGCAGAGGACCAGCCCAGTGCCTGCCCACCATGGCTTGAGGATCTAATTCCTTGATTGGGCTCCCTGAGCTTGGGGATCCACAGGTCTGGGTGTCCAGGCGGGAAGCACTGCCTCTGACCTGGCCTCTCCCAGCCACAGCTGAGCTGAGCAAACTGGGAGAAGTCCATTCTGCATCTGCCTTCTTAGCCATGCTTGAGCTGGGGAAATATTGTTAGAAATGTGTTGAAATGAGCCAAGGCTTAGCTCCGGTCGGCTCTATGTATCTGTGGAGCGCGCGAAATAGACAACTGAACAGCTCTCGGCATATTTCTCCAGCTCAGGTGACATTTCTACCCAGAGCCAGGGAACCCTGAGGTGGAGCTAGCTGTTGCCTACTGGTTCCCAAGCACAGCTCCAGCAACCGCTGCACGTGCAAGGAGCAGCCATTTTTACCGCACTGGCTCGGGATGTTGAGCCCGCGGAGGCAGGGAGAGAGGACAGAGTGAAGGGAGCACTCACGTGTGGTGGCAGCACACAGCACCGCTTCGGCCAGGAGCAGGAATCCGACGTGGCGGTGAACACCGCTCATGGTGCCGCAGACCCTGCGTCGGCTCCGCGCGCGCAGAGGAGCAGAGGGTGCCCGGTGCCTGCACACGGTAACTCCTCCGGTCCCCACTGAGAAGTGAGAATGAAGTTTCTCTGCTGCTCTGCTCTCCGATTAAATGAAGGGCCCCAGGACTCATCATGTGATGGAATTAAGCAAAGATGCATGATTTTGTCTTCAGCTTCTTTCAGCTCATGTGCTTATGACTCACTCCCTTTGCTTTCAGCATTCCCTGGGATTTCTGAGACCTGTTTAGAGCCACACCATTTACCTCGCAGGCATTTTTATACTAGTTTTGCACCATGATCAATTTTTGTATTTAATTTGTTTTTAAATTAGGAATGTTTATATCCAGAAATCCAAATTAACTCTTGCCCCAGCCTGATTTGCAAATGTTACTGCAACAGCTCACTGCATTTGATGGACCCGTCACTACTTAACCATGTGTCTCTCCCCACATGCTGGGCAACAACTGTAAACTAAGCGGAGACCGGCCAATTCTAACACATCCCTGGACTTGTCTCCTTGTTAAGGAGAACGTTATTTAACCATTTAGCGGGCACATGCGTGTACCATCCGACCACGGTTGCACAATACGATGTGCCCATGGTTAGAGGTGTAATCACAGACCATATGTAGTGCTGGCCAGTCAATATCTAGCTCACAAGTTGCCATGACCTACACACAGACAAGTAATTCATTGTATATACTTAATGGTTTGTAGAGATAAAGGAAAAACAGACGTTGCTGCCCAACCTAATAATGAGGTGTAACCAATGGTTCAGGAGGAGTAGGGTAATACAGGCAGATTGGCAAACACTGCACTTAGTGGTTCAAATTCAGGTTCAACATGCTTCACCAGCCCAGGTGTTCTTCTGCAGGCAGTGCAGCAACTGAATTTTGCTGCACCCGTGGCAGCCTCATGAAGTTTCTTGCTTTTGTTTGCAGCAAAGAACAAGCTTTGGTGAGATGACATGGCATAGAAGTAAGTATGGTCGTCAAGGCAGGAGTTCAGTGGTGGTTTCAGTGATCCCAAAGTATAGCACTAGCAAGTGAGACACTGGCTAGCCAGAAACCAGCAAGTTGGGCAACACTAAACCATTTTTATGTTGGGCAGGGCAGGTGGAAGTCCGTAAGTCCGAGGCACTGTCAACAGAATGAAGAGATTGCCCAATGGAAAGAGATTTTAGAACTGTAACTACTTATAATTTTTTTTTATTATTTGTTCTTAGTTTCTTCCATTTTTTTAGCATTTTCTATTAGCTATGTATTGTCACTACCCAGAGCACCCCAGCCAGCATTTCTCTCAGTAACGCAGGCTCTGATGTCCAGTCCATCTTGCATATGTAGATTCCATCCTTCAGCACCCTCCTGGCTGGAGCCAACCCTGCCTCCTACTGCCTGCCGAGGAAAAGGGTGAAGGCAATAGTCTTAGGGATACCAGACTTGTTTAAACTAAGCCCTCATTATCTGGCAGAAAGGAGAGGGAGCATAAATCAAAGTCAAAGCTGTGACTGACTATGCAAAAAAATCATATGACTGCAGCGTCCTCATGTGATTGTTGCTTTTTTGTTGTTATTAAATCAACTACATTCTCAGTTGAAATGTCAGGTTTCGAAGCCATTCACAATTATTTTTTAAACCATGTGGGACATTAACTTTAATTGCACTCCTTTGTTTCCAGGTTGTTGATCCTAGAAGTGAAAAGTGACCTTCAAACACTGTGTTTCAGCACTGAGGGCCTGATCCAAAGTCTGCTGGGGGGAAAGGAGGTTTGAACGCTGGTTCCCAACAGGGTTTTGAGAACCTCCAGAGGAAAACTGCTGACAACAAATGCCTGTTAATTAAAAACAAAAATTTATCAGCCTAAAAACAATAAAGTTGGTTAGGATGGAGATTTTTGCCGTGTTATTTGATACATGAAATTGTTACATAAATATTGAGTGACACTCTCAATAAGGGCCAGCTGGTGGAAATTACTAAACACGTTGTAAATAGACTTCAGGGGCGCTGAGGATCAGGCCTGTGGTTAGAGGAATCCAAACCCACCCGGGCTGGGGTAATGACTAAAAGGTGGCCGAACTGTGACGCTCCGGTCCTTCGTGTTCTCCCTCCTCAGCTCTTGGGCCTTAGACTACACATTCCTGGAGGGCTGACACAGAAAATGTTTGGATCCGCTTGTGCTGTGGTTGCAGCCAACAGCGTTACCAAGAAAAGAGGAGAGGAGAAAGCCGTATAAGAAGGGAAGAAAGAGCTAGGAGGAACAGAGATGTGAAGAGAAGAATAAAAAAGCCAAGGAAAATTATGAGAAGTGAAGACTGAAGGGACCATCTGAAAACTGAGCTGACTTCTCCAAGTGTCCCAGCTGTAGCTGACTATGTCTGAAAATGAGTCCATCTGAAACACTGAAGAGTTGCTTGAAACCGGTTGATCATCACCACATCTTAAATTAACTTTATAGTTTTTACATTATTAGTCTTGGTCTCTGAGAAACAGCTTCGCAGTTAAAACAACTGAACTGAATTGTGCTGCTGTAAAGGAGAAAAGATTTAAAATATATCCTAAATATTCTCCTAGCAAAGAAACACACATTCAGAGGGATTTAGGGCTTAATCTGACAAAGAAGTGGGTGGGTAGGAAGTGCTTGGTACTTCACAGCTTTAGCGCCTCAGTTATTAAAACTCATTGAGGAGATACACATCTCTGCTACCTGAAGGCCTGTCAGATGACAGGGTGTGAGCACATCATGTGTACCTGCATGTCTAGACTGCGACAGAGCTGGCACGCTCGCACCGCTATCATACCACCATCGCCGCAACACAAGTACAGGAGTTGTTAATCACCGCTCACAGGAACTTTAAAAAAAAAGGAGGAAAAAAAAAAAAAAAAAAAAAGAAGGGATTTGAAGAATGAACTTGACTTTTGGACAAGCCAGCAAAGGAAAATGAGACGATCTTGTTTTGGCAACCAGGTACTTTTAGGTAAATGCTGTCCGCCATTACCAGTGGTCTCTCGAGGGAACTCTGCTTAAGGCGGGACAAATTCCCTTTCTGGGAAGCAATCATCTGTGTCTCACTTCACATGGGGCAGTGGCCATCAGCTGACTGAACCGAGCATGTAAACAAAGCTACGTTAGCAGTCTGCAGTCTTTCTTGTGGTACAGGGGGGGAAAAAGCTCTGCAAAAGCTCCTGATCAGTTTATGTCACCATCCAGCTCAGTTTGTCACTGAAAAACAAATTAACCCTTGCAGCTGGACAAACAGGCTTTTAGTAATTCCACCATCTTCATTTTTCACTTTTGTGGTAGCTACGCATTTTACCATTTTTATGGGAAGGTATTTCCTTGGAGTCATACTTCCTCCAAATTCCTGTGTTGGGGTTGATGTTTTCCAAACGTGGCACTTGACCACAGCATATAATTCTGGATATTTTTTGGTGATAAAAGTCATTATTGGCCTGATTTCCTCTAGAGGGAAGGCTCGAATGAGCACACCACCTCTCCGCCTTTTTAGTGGTGTCTCTATGTTGGTCCCTCCCTACGAACGCTGAACTCACTGCTCAGTCACAGCCACGTGTGTGACAGAGTGCCCTGAAACACCTCATGAAAGCAGCTGGTGGGGAAGGTAGGGGAACCCAAGAAATCGTCTGCAGCGCTTTGACATCAGCAAATCCTCACGAGAGCTCAGCCTTGAGATACAGACCCACAGAGCGCCCTGGTCCACTCATCCCCCACAGGTGGACTTGGCTTCCCTGCCCATGGGAGTTCTCACTAATTTGTGCAGATGACCAGCAGCTGAAGACAAAGCATGATAACAGATAACCGACCCTCCAGACCATACCACGCATCTTTTTTTTTTTAAGGTGTGTAAACAAAGCAAGTTTATTCAATGTCTCCAGGCAGGTGTTGGGGTTTTTTTGACTATGGTGTCAGTGCAAGGAGGAGGTGTGGTATCCTGGTAGTCCCAGTGCTCTGCTGCCGTAGCCCATGGTCTTCTGAAGGCCTCTGTAAGCTTCTGGCTTGCCCTGTGTGCACCTCAGCTGACCCACTTGCAGTTTTGAAGCTGACACATTCATTTACAGTCTGGACATTGGTTTTACTGTACTACTTTTCTCATACTGATTTAATGAACTGTTAGTTAAGTGGTTTACATTCACAATGATTCATCAAGGCACAGTCCCCTTCCAATCAGGAGAGTAGATAATTGCTGTGAAAGTGCATGATTATGACTGTGGGAGACCCATATTTTACATCATATTATAATGAAATCCATTCGGGCCTCCCTGTTGCTCAAAGAGGTTTTAAAAGATAGATTTTGTATCATTCAGCTCAAGAGAGCAACCAAATTATTGCTGAAAAGTTCTGTTTTCTCTAAAGACATTCATTGATATTTTGGCTAGGAAAAAGAGAAAATTTTCTTCAAAGAAAGTAATTCAGGAACAATCAAACGAGCAAAACCCAACCAAAAAGAGAATATACTTAACAAGAACATCTGCTGTGAGGTCATTTTGGTGGGAGGACACTGAAGGAGAAGTAGTCTCACAGCCAAAGTCTGCTCCTTTAAAGCTTTTCTAAGAAACAATATAAACTGAATATACTCAGTTGTACCTTATTCCCTGTATTTGCTATGTTTCACTTATTATGGGCTGGGGATAAGAGTTCAGCACAGAAGCACGGTTGTTTTGTGGTCCAGTGAAATTGCCTTGACTGCTCAAGACATAACCTCAGCACTTCCCTGAAATAGGAGTCAGAATAAATGAAAATGCTGGCAGCTGAACTTTAGCATAACATACTCTTTAATGTGTTAACAGCAAGAATACGGGCAAAATTCTGCATTTTTTGGACTGTATTCCCACTGACTCATGGCATTAATTCAGACAGTAACCTCTTCCTTAGAGGCTAGACCCAAGCAGTGAATATACAGGCAGCAGAGAGGGGAGAAAAAAGGTGAATATATTATATAGCAACCAGCTTTCTACCTAGAAGC